TGGACCTTTTGGCTTTTCCCCGATCTTATGGCGTTCCCGTCGCCGTCCGCGTTGTCGTTGCTTAAAGTCCATACTGACGGCGATGGAACGTGTTTTACGTAGAGTACACATGTACCTTTCCCACCCCAACCCCAACACTTCCATGCCTCTAGACTAATTAATTAATTGAAATTAATTAATTAAACAAACATTAAAGTTTAAACCTTAGCGCCATAGGGCAATAGCGCCAGAGCGCCATAGTGCCTTAGCGGCAGGCAGCCCACCCATAACCATCCCAATAGTGCACTCTGCACTAAAAACGAGCAATAGACATGATAGAATTTATTAATTATATAGCATCCAAAAACAGCTCGTCTTCGGGAATCTCCTCAAGCTTTCTCACTTCGCTTACCTCAGTACGCGAGGGGTCAAACACTTTAACCCAGGTTTTTGCGCTTCTTTGAGTGTTCTTGTCCTGATTATCCTCCCTTATCTCGAGTAAATAAGTAGCATCTATCTCTGGAAATCTAGCTGAAGACTCCATGTGAAAGTTTGAGACGTCAAAAAGGTGGAGAGAAAAGTCGGGAAATTCCGCCATCATCAAAACATAAACCTTAGTGGGCTACAATCGCTCGCTGACGTTTGATAGCAGTGATAATAGCTGCAACCTGATTGACCAATTCTCGGTTCTTTTATTTATCGTGACATTTGATTGGTTGATGGAAAGTATCCAGATTTTTCTCAAACTGGACAGTTTGTTCAAAGCTAAACTAAACATTCGAGCAAAAATTGAAGATTAAACGAGACTTACCTGCAAGTTGAAGTTTGATATGGATTCTATGAATCATCAGCCGGGAGTGTAGGAGTTGTACGAGAGAGAGTGTAGCGCATGCGTCAACTCAGGCTTTAGAGTAGGAGTCTCGCTCCTAGGGACTCATTCTAACATTCGTATACCAGGAGGCTTTAAGGAGTGAGATTACCTTTATTTAATCTCGATTTCTTACGAGAGGAGATAATGACCTCAATGGCATAAAAGATACTAGGGAAGGGTACAACGCAAGGATGGACACAGGGAGGGCGTAAACTCCTACACTCCCGGCTGATGACTCATAGAATCCATATCAAACTTCAACTTGCAGGTAAGTCTTGTTTAATCTTTAATCCTATTTCGTCATCAGTCATAGGTCGTTACGGAGTGGTACCAGATTTTAGAGCTGTCACTGAGGCATAGCTAATCAATAGATTGGCACGGGCAATACGGTAGAATATTAATGTTTATTACATCAAATCAAATACCAATGATGTTAATTTCAAGATAACGCGAAGATTGTTGTGCGAGCACTGATCTTTGAAGGAACTCTCTTCCAATGACCACGAAGTCCTTTGAAATTTCTACGTTGTAGAAAAAATGGAAAACTGAAGATGAAAATTCTAAACCGAGGGATACCAAAATACCAGCAATGTCTTTATCAATGCCAAATATAAAATATATATGTATCTCTTGTGAATACATACAACTAGATGAAATGAAAGTCTAACAACTACACCACATCCGTGAAATTCTCTTATTTCTGCGCCAATGTCCTTAAAATCTCTTGCCCAAAATTAAACTCAGACTCGGAGGGCTAGTGGTAAAATTGTTGAAAAGTCCTCTCATTTGACCATCCTGCAGACAGCATAATGTCCTTATGGTCATTCCACTGAAATAAAGTCTGCACTGAGATTTTTGTGAAACTTTGCCTATTGATTGTTTATATTGTAATGAAATTGATATAGTGATTGCACGAGCTATGATGCGCGTGCTAAGATGTATAACGGTTGTATTTGAATGTATACTCGCAAGAGTTCTAAGACTAAGAGACGGTTATATGGCAAGTACGGGATGCGCAATGTACTCGTAATACAGGGTATATAAGGGACTCACGTTATGTAGTGGCCTGTGTGTGTTAGTAGACTTGCCATGTACAAGTAAGCTAAACGTTCAGAGTCGAGTAATTAAACCGTTGGCTGTTGGACTCCTTGACTGGAAGTTGTTGTCGCCCGCGCGCGTTAC